GCTTTTTCACACATCACGTAATTAGACGGTGGAACTCATTACCACCGGATGTCGTTGAGACCGAGCATTTAGCAAAACTCAAAAAGTGATCAGATATTTATATGGATAACAAGAATATGCAGAGTGATATTAAACCTCATGTTTCATTGCTTCAGCCAGTTGCTAACTGTTAGAGAGAAGGATGAGAATGTGGGAGGCAGATTATTTTACACCTTCTTCTGAAGCATCTGATATTGTCCACTTTTGGAGACAGAATACTGACCAGATGGACCTCCGGTCTGATCCATTCTGGCATTTTCTGTGTTCCAAACACTAACTTCTGAAGATCTAAGATGGAACCTGTCATTAATTATGGAAATAGCTAAGATTGAAGGGGAGTTTCCATTTAAAGCCTCATTTTGCCACTCTTCCTACCTATCACAAAAAGGGAAAATATTGGCCTTAAAATTGATACATGAGCTCTGAGGCTGTGGTGATTTTGTCTGCCAGAACTGAAGTTAGTTAGGGAAGCTGTTCATTACTTATGGTACCCTGAAAGTATAAGTAGTGATTAGAATTCCAAAAGCCTTCTAACGATTTTATTTTCCAAAAAATGCCTCTAACTAGCAAATAAAAGGAAAAAAAGGTGAGAAATAAAACATATCATCCTGGACTTCTGTAGCTGATATCTAGAGTCAAATTCTCTGTTGCAACCAGTATCTGCTGTGGGCAGCATTCTTCACTCCTCAGGTTTCCTGCATTGAACCTGCGGTGTAGGATAGTGATTGGCCCTGTGTTACTCTGTACCCCACACCCATTGTTCTCACCCAGCCCCAACTTCCTGTGGGTGTCAAGAAGCCCACAGGACGGGCCTTCAGAATGTTTGTGGGGAGGGGGGAGAGAGTTTACAGCATGGGGGCAGCGCAGCATGGGGGACATCCCTCCCTCTGGACCCACTGGAGCATGCAGGAGGAGATCTTCCCCACACCTGTGAGTGTTCGGAAGATCTTTGTTCAACACATTGCAAGACTGAGCCCTCTGATTCCATGTGCCAGCTGGTTATCCACATGTCATTACACGAAGAGCTCGTATGCCTCCTTATACAAACTTCCCGGGCCCAGATCCTGCAGTCAGAGCACTTCTCCAAAAGAGCAAAGACAAGACATTTAATGTTTTTGTTTTCATTAATAAATAACAAATCATTTCTCTTTGAACCTCAAACTGTGAAGACAAAGTGATTCCCCTCCAGAGCAGAAGGGATCCTTAGTATGAGATATGAGACTGAATTTCCTTTTATTTCTCCCCTCTAGGACATCACAGGCACCTTGAGCAGGTACGTGGCTCCTTCTCACTCTCCCTTTCACTTCCGAATGCAGGGAAGGGATTTTAAACATGAGACATTTCTCCCCATGGTCCAGCAGTGCAGAATGTGGGACCCAAACCACGTCCCTACCCCTGCTCTCTGCTCGCTCCTCTCTGCCCTCTCCCCCCATCACTTGCCTTTAAGGCAGGTACAAAGGCAGAGAGCAGAGCTCTCCCACTTTTAAAAGTGATGGGGCCATGGCCCCCCTGTTCTGGTACCCCTGTCAAGAGATGGAGAATCCACCACTTCCCTTGGCAGTTTCTTCCAGTAGTTAATCCACCCGCACCCTTAAAAATGTCTGTCTGATTTCCCATTGGAATTTCTCTGGCTTCGGCTTCCAGCAATTGGTCCTTGTTGTGCCTTTGTCTGCTAAATTGAGGAGCCCTTTAGTACAAAGTCTGTTTTCCCCCTTGGTTCTCTAAGTGCAAGGCATTTTTACCAGCCCTCAGATCATTTTTGTGGGTCTTCCCTGCACTGTCTCCACTTTTTCAACGTCCATTTTAAAATGGGGACACCAGAACTGGAGGCAGTTTTCCAATATCGGTCTCACCAGAATGAAGGGGAAGCTTGTAGTGTCCAAGCTGGGATTGGACCTATTCCTGGGGCAACAGAGACTTTAATCCTCCAAGGTCTGCTGAGCTACAACCATTCACTAGAGTAAAATACATGTTAGTAAAACACAAATATGACCGAACTCCACAACGAGTAACACTGGGTTGTTCTTCAGATGTGAGAGGGAGAAGTTTCAGAACCCAGTGGCCTTTTCTTCTGACCTGAAATGGAGAATCTGGGAATCTTCTCAAAGAAATGCATCTGTGGAGACCATAATGAAGAAATTCAAAGGTAATAAACAGTCACCTGGGGAATTTACTCACACATGTTACACTGAGAATTGACAGAGCTGGGGAAATCTCTTAGGGACCATGATTGTGGATGGAGATTGTCAACTAATCATTTGGAACCTATGGAACCAGCAGCTGTGACCCAACACAAAAGCTGGGAGCGCTGCAGCACCCTCCGCACTCCTAGTTCCCGCAGCTCTCTGCAGAGACTCGGGGCTTCCCCCCCAGTGAGAGGGCGAGTCAGCACGTGCGGCTCCAGCCCCGTGATGGCGACGGGTGGTGGTGCTGCCGGTCAGATGAAATTGAGCAACAGGCTGGGTCCGGACTGTGGCTGTTGGTTCCCCACTCCTGCTTTAGAGATTCTCCACCTTTTATCCTCCTGAGCTGGAGATAATGAGACCACCAGGGCTGTCAGGAAGGATGAGCCAGTTTTACCGAGTACTAGTGGTACAGGGGAAGATTTAAAGTTGATCGAATGCTAATCAGTGACAAAGTGTCTGTGTATTGGTCTGTCTGTGAATTATGTGTTGGTGTCAGAGGGTTTGTTTACACAGCAATTAAACACCTGTGGCTGGCCCGTGTTCTCCCATCACAGGGTCCCAAAGCCCAGGTTTCTGCCCAAGCCAGAGCATCTACACAGCAATTAAACAGCCCCAGTGCCCGAGTCCTTAGTTTTTAATGTTTGTGGTTATTTTGTAGTGAGGTGTGTAATGGTTTATATTGGTCTGAATTGCACTTAGCCTCCTTAACTATACCATAATAAAGTTTGTTTTCTTTTCATTTTGCTTTTGTGTTAGAACATTAACAATGTGAATATATTAATAAACACGACATCATGACATTTTGTCTTTTTCACCCTTTTCTTCCTCTAGACTCACTGTCGTCTAGACAGCGGTTGGACAAAGGTAAATTTCTAGGATCAAAGGGGGAGTGAAAACTTTCATATGAATTATGGGGGCTCATTGGCAGCACCGTAGTTCAGGTTTTGTTTCAATTTTGCATTTGACAGGAGCTGAACACTGTATTACTGGTGGCTACACAGATCTTTCCTAAAAACAGAAAAGTAGATTATTTTCTCTATTATACTTTAGAATTTTTAACTAGTGGTTGGATAACCAGATGGGCGGGGGTGGGAGAGAGGGGGCGAGCAGTGTATCTCCGTAGAGATCTAAGGGTTTAAAAATGAGCCTTTAGGAAAATCAGAGAGGAACATCACACCTCATTTTCAGAACTCTTTATGCACATACATCACAACCCCTGGCAATATTATTATTATTATTAGCAAATGCACAAGTGGTACAATGAAGAATGGGAGAATTCAACATACAAAAAATAGACATTTCTGTTTTATCTCTCTACTTTATAAGTCAAAAGAAAAAATGTCAAAAGGGGTTAGGTAGACATCAGCTATTAGCAGACATGCCAACTCTCACGAATTGATCGTGAGAGATGCGATTTCTGAGTAAAATTAAGCCCCACTCATGATCTCGCGACAGAGCTGTGGCTGGAAAAAAAAATCCCGACATTTGAGAGTTCTAAAAATTAGTCTTAATTTTACTTAGAAATCGTGTCAGCTGCCCTGGGTGTGCCTGGGGCTCCCGCTGTCACCACCCCAGTGCGGCTGCTCCCCTGGAAAGTGGGAGAGGGGACCCCACTGTAGCCCCTAGGCCTAGGGAGGGTGAAGAACCCCAGGTGGAGCAGAGGTGGGGCTGGGAGGGCTTTATTATGGCCTGGGGGCTGCAGGGGACCTGAAGTGAGCGGGGGGCTGATGGGCTGGGGGGGCTGTATTGTTGGTGGGTTCTGAGCACATAGGGTGAGTGCTGGGAGGGTGAACTGAGGGCAGTGGGGTAGGGGTGCTGAACTGATGGGGGGTGATGATGGGGATTGCACGATTGAATTGAGGGGGGTTGGATGGGGACAGGATTAATTGCTGGGCAGGAGACGGGCAGATGGGGGGTGAGAGCTCCTGCAGCAGGAGTCAAAAATCCCCTTCTCCAGTGCATGTGGGAGAGTGGGCGACACTAATTGTCACATGCGCACACCCTGGGGAGGGGCCAGGGGAGTTCAAACATCAAGAGACTGACCTAAAAACCACAATAGAATCCTTTTAAAATGTCATGATTGTTGGGCCAATCTCATGGGATTTGATCTCTTGAAGTCGGCAATACTGTATTAGCCATTGCATAGCCTTGGGGCCAGCAGTGTGGAGTTTGGAAAGTCCCCGATAGACCAGCACAAGTCGAGCAGCCGTTCAGTAAGTGTGCGGTGTCCTCACCCACCCGCAGCTACACACAGTCATGGGGGGCCAGTGGGGTCTCTATAAAAGCAGTTTTTCTGTTGCTCAGCTGGCTGATCATTAGGAGGGGGGGCTCTGCAAGGAGACGGGGTGTGGAGAGTTGCATCATGGGACAGGGGGACTTTGCATTCCCTGTAATCTGCTGGGAGCCTCCTATGTTACCAGCATCTCTAATCACATCTGTGGGGAGAGGTGGGTGCAGACGGGGAAAGATCCCATGGGCCTGACTGTCAGGGGGGCCAGGACCATCCCTAGGGGGGTGCAGTGTGGAAATGACGGATTCGTTTCTTCTGGTACCGACTACGCCAGCCAATCGCGCTGGCCCGCAGGGCCCCTGAAAAGCGCGGGACCTGGAGTGGTCGCCCTGATTCGTCCTACCCAAGGGACGGCTCTGCTGGGGGCATAGACAGGAGGCATCACACTATGGCTGGTCTCTGCTTTGCAGCCCTGATGCCCCTGTAACGAGGGCCCAGGGAGACTAAAGGAAGGACAAAGGTGGTTGAAAAACACCTCCCTCTAACCCCCCCTTGTCTTTCCCCCAAGCACAAAGATGGAATAACTGAGACTCAGATGCTGGGTCTGGGGGGCTGGCTCAGCTGAGCTGATCCTTTCACTCTGTCCCTGAACTGGCTCTGTCAGGGTGTGAATCCCCCCTGCCCATGGCTGAGATCTCAGCGTTGCTCCCCAGGCACAGCTGGGTAAATCCTGGAGGCAGGAGGTTGCCTGATTCACTCCCCATCTGGGGCAGGTTCTGTCACTGACACGATCAGACCCTCCCCCAGGGCTGAGCTCGCCCCTCATGCTCTGATCTTCTCTCTGCAGTGCACGTGACTCTGGATCCAGACACGGCCCATCCCGAACTGGTCCTGTCT